TTAAACAGGAAATTCTTACCCTTCCAGAGAATATTGTAAACAAATGTCTTATACAGCCTCCTTTTTTTTCCTTAGAATATCAGGAGAATAATCCAAACAACTGTTTTTATAAGAAAGTGGTATATGTGATGTTGACAAAAATATACTGTCATCTATGAAATTATCATAAAGTTTTATTCTGAATTGTCAAATATCAAAGTTATATCATTTGCTGTAAATTTTAGCATCAGTTTTGTATGTGATTTTATTTCTGTATCAACAATTAATACTTTAAATGCAACATTTATCACAAAGATAATTATAGATTTTAACATACCCTTTTCCATATTGGCCCTGGTATCATCCTGAGACCCCATATCAGCCCGAGGCTTTAGCCGAGGGCCTATATGGGTCGAGGGATGATACCAGGGCCAATATGGAAATAGGTATGTTATAATCTATAATTATCTTGGAAAAGACATGTTATAATCTATTTATCACATATTTAAGTTCTACAGGAAAGAGAAAAACGTTCAATTATAACTAATTAACCACAACAGGTAAAATCTAAAAAGATTTTATCACATATTCCATTAATTTTTACATCGCGATGACCGTGAGGTCATATCGATGTATTGCTATCGCCTAAATATCCATTATGCAAATTAGTTTTGGGTTTTCAACTGATCTATAAAAATTATAGATCCGCGGTCACTTATCTAGTGCAAAATAACATTACTTATCGCTTGTTTCAAATTCATTTTTTCAATGAATACTCCTATAAATATTTTTATTAAAACACAAATTAATAATATGAAAATGTGTTGTCGTTAGTTATATATATATAAAAGTAAAAAATCATTGATGATATAAATGCACACGTACCGAAAAATTGTGTTAAAGCTTACGGAAGAATATCTCAAGAACGTTTTGCGACACTCCCAGCAAGGACCGATAACTCTGTTAATGTTTTGCGGGAAAATATGAATGGCTTCTCATATCCAATCTTTTAGAAAAATCGATTTTTTTACAGAAGAGTGTCCACCATGCACTTGCACTGCACTATAATTAGAATAGTAGAATAGAATGATATATAAATAGATGAAAATTATATATACATGCAACCGTAATATTAATATAATATATAACAACAAACCAGACGTGTATACTCTGACACTATTATCATATTAGTATAATAGTCCCAGGTATACTGATTTGTATCACTACAATATAATAGTTATTACGGTGTGGTTGAATTTCCTGTCATTTATTCATCATCCATGCACGAACTTGTATCAGAAAAAGATATATCTCTGTAAATTAACCTCAGTTTCAGGTATAGAGATGTGATCTATTTCTGTGACATGTGCTTTTGACCATCCACAAGAACCTGCGGTCATCCGATGTTCAGTACTTCAGTACTTTGATTAATATATACTGCATACAAATTTATTGTAACATTCCCCTTATTTTTGAATATGGTATGACACAAAAGCGAGAATTTGACATAACTTGGCCTAAATCGATAATAATTGGTTGGACATTGTTACTAGTGGCCATTGTAGCATAATTCTCGTAATTTTCAATACTAACACCATCATTGTTCGCCATTGACGTTAATAACGCAATGACGTCTTGTCATTTGGAACCGGGGCACAATAACCAATAACCACTTTTTTGCCACAGGCAGCAATATGAGTAGGACAATTGTGCGGTTATTACATATGCAAAACCCAATGTTTTTTCGTAACAAATATGTGATAATAGTTGATATTATATTTCACAAACTATCATTGTGACAGTACCCTGGTTATGTCCCTTGTAAGTTATAAATACAAATATGGAGATGTGGTATGATCGCCAGTTAGACGGCACTTGTACCTCCATTAAAGACTAGAGGACAAAGATGTAAAAAAATTACAGATTACCGTACAACCTTCAAAAATAAGCAGTTCCTATTCCATTTAGAAATATAAAATGCCCTTGTATGACAATATGTGAAACAATTCAAAAGAGAAAACCAACGGACATATTAATACTATTTATAACGATAAAAGAAAAACAATTATGGCAGACACCAACCAACAACAACCACCAGATTACAGGTTTTTGGTTGGGGAGAGGCACGTATAGAATGATTTACAGAGTTGGAATAAAACTTTCTCCCTCTTAGGCAGTTTGCCCATTCAGCATGGTTTCAGTGGAAAAGTATAAACTCATAAATTAATATAATAAATGAGAGTATAACAACTGCACCAGAATTAAGTCAGTTAAGATCTGGGGGAGGAAATTTATTTTTAAAGTATTATAGGTTTTAGTTTTGTGAAGTATCATGGGATGCACTCAGCACATGACTTGAGCAATTATAATGGCTATTAAGGATTGTCAAAATTCTCAATTCATGTAAAAGATCAAGTTGTATAATGACTTGAAACGTATGTTGTAATGATGTTGTAATGACGTTATTTCAGTCTTCAAATAGAAATCTTTACCTTGAAGTGCACTGAACAACTGTATCTTTGAGGATTATTGTTTCCAGTTAACATTTGTTTAATCTAAATCTCTTAATTCTAATATTTTTTCAAAGAATAAAAAAATCATGCCAATAAAGTGGTGGTCCTGCATAATCCTGAGGTTAACTGCACTGGCAAATTCATTGATTCTTGTTGCATAAGATAAATATTTGCATTAATTCATTCAGCTGAAAATTTCAAATGTGACTTGTCAGAGTATGAATGTATGTTGTGTTTCAGCTATTTTCAGTGTTTTAACCATGTTGTGAGTTTGACCTCAATCTAAGATAATAATACTTGTAGTGCATTTATCAATATAAAATATTATTAACATGCAATAGACATTATTCATTTTAGACCTAAAAATTTACATACATTACAGTACCGATTAACTTTCAAATGTCAGTCATCCACTGGAAAGAGGTATTGCCAATTTCTCTGTATTGTATCAACATCAGAAAGATGATGAAACTTACTGAAAGTGGAATATTATGAAAGTTTCTATAATATAGTTTAAAGATCTTCCAACAATTTTACAGATATCCATATGGGGGCAGGGGAGGATTTTGATAAAAAACATCCTGGTATATATATATATATATATATATATGGTAAAAAAAGTGAAGCAACAGATGAAAATGAACAGTCAATCCACAAAACATCCTCCTGCCCCCCTCCCCCTCCCCCCCCCCCCCCCCCAGAATATTAAACTATTGTCCCCTAATACTGTGAAACTTAATATAAATGAAAATAGCCCTGTTATGAAATAAATTATGGCCCTCTTATTATAATCAATGGACTATATCATTAAGTTAGCTTTTTGAGAGAAAAAAAGCAATTGTTTCCATTATTTTTATTTTTGGCGCATGCGAGTTCTCCTTCATCCAGTGAAAGATCTTCAGCAGACAGTCTTACTGTTTAGACCACAAAATGCACTAGGAAGTAATTTCACATGTTAAAATTGATGTGATATTAAAATAGTTTTTTGTGCTCCTTTCATGTGATAGATATTTTGACAATTAAGGACTCTAAAATTGACATTTATTGATAATATAAAAGGATGAATGCACCTTGATGTTTTTGATGACCGAATAGAAAAGATTCTTTCTAAGATTTGCAAGCTGAAAGGTATGGATGGTGTTCATATTGTGGAGAAAGAATTCTTAAAATCTATTAAACTGACCCTTACTGCAAATGTAATAAAAGTATAAAACAGGAAATCAATATGAACAAAGTTGAATAATAAAACATCTCTTCTTTCTGAAAGGCTTTATAAAAAGAGCATTATGTTCAAACAAAAATGCTGTTTTTCATATGTTTGCAACCACAAAGCAAATTAAAGTTATAAAGATGGGATACGTAAAGCAATATCACTGATCAAAGAGTCAAAAGAATCAGAGAGAGTTGTTCTTGGAAATAAACCCTTGTATATTCTTTTAGCAACACTTAATTCTTTAATAAAAGAAAAATAGCAACAAAAAATGACATTCGTTCTAGGGGATGTTATTCACAGAACAAAACTCATCACTTTGACTTCTTTTGTAGTGTTTGCTGTTTTACAAGTGAAGTCTTGGTTTCTAACTACTGTTGGCAAAACAAATTCCATTCAACATTACCGGTAAACATATACTAAGATCAAAACCTGATCTCTAAAAAAAGTGATTTGATATATTTATTTACAGTGTATGAATAATTATAATTGGATATAAGAAGATGTGGTATGAGTGCCAATGAGACAACTCTCCATCCAAGTCAAAATTTATAAAAGTAAACCATTATAGGTCAAATAATATCTATTAAGCTATGTAGTTATTTTTAGAAAACAAATTGGTACCTTCAACTTGTTTCAATCAATTTTTGCCAGTTGTCTACAATTTCAAGATTAGGTAAGAGTTGTATTTGATTGTTTTTGTTGTAAGTTTGGATTTTGTGTACAATGTGATCAATAATTTTTCAATTGTACACAGTATTGTGGTGCAGAAAGGTTAAAAATTGTTTCTTTGGTAATCCAACTGACCATGGGCTTTTAATGACCTCTATTCCCCCATCCTGAACTTCATCACAATCTTGAACAACATATAGCTGTTTGTCATGTCATCCTATAACTAACTGTCTTGCTGGCATGCTCACCCATAAATGCAGGAGGTCATGTGTTGGCTACCTGGGGTGACCAAAACAAGACTAAAAAATCAGTAGGGTAGAATGTTATCTTACAGACACTTTGAGCTAGCATGTTGATCCAGTACGAAGCAGGGGTTATATAGCAGAGTGCACTTGATATTTCAGTGTAGGGTACATTTTTTTCAAGAATATCAAAGAAGACATTCTGTATTCTTTCTGCAAAAACTGACCACTATGATTTTGAAAATTCAGTGGCACCATCATATAAAACCAAATTCAGTCATGCTATTCAATCAGGTTTTGACAACTTTCTTTAGGCTTTTCCATTATTCCATTATTCTTTTTTATTGTAATTACATGTACATGTTGAAATTCTTTTGTTTTCAGTGTACAAATCTCCAGAATATGAAACCCTAGGGTTTGATTTGATAAAGAACAAATTGCTAGAGATGGGGTACCCTGAACCCATAGGAGAGTTTGAATATGATCCAACATTCCCTATAAGGTTTGTATAGAAAATTCAGAAAGAGAGAGACTCAGAGAGAGACATATGTGATAGATAATTAATATCCTTTTATAAAAGATATTTAAAACATTTGTAAATAGAATACTGTAGTATTTTGGCAGTTGAGCACAAGGGAAATTGAGTTGGCTCTATTTATTGTTAATAGTTATCAAAGGTACACTATGGCTTCTGAAAAAGTCATAGGTTGTTACACAGTAATGATCTGTAGGATTTTTTTTTTAAAAGATTGTCTTACAGGGAGTTGTCATATACATGTATGTAATACATTTGTAGTATCATGCTGGGGAGAAGGCAAGAAGGTATGCAGATTGAAAAAATAAAGGATATGAAATGAACAGATACAAGACAAATATTCAATGAGATAAATATAAAAATAACCATTATATCACAGGAACAAAGATTTTATTGGGATGAAAGTCCTTGATTATTACATTTTCGAGGGGCAAAAAAGAGGGCTTAATTGTATGTAATAGGAAATGTAAAGTCAAATTTTTTGGGAGGATGTTTTGTCCTGTTTCTTTCCAATTTAGAAAGATGTGTGGGGGAACATAACTATTGCAACTATATATAATTATGGCATCATATTGGAAGATATACCAGAAACCAGAAAGTCTTTTTTACTATTGATTCTTACTGTTTGCTCATTGTCGAGCCTTCGACTTTAGTCGAAAAAGTGAGACATAGCGATCCTACATTCCGTCGGCGTCGGCGGCCACAAATATTCACTCTGTGGTTAAAGTTTTTGAATTTTTAATAACTTTCTTAAACTATCCTGGATTTCTACCAAACTTGGACAGAAGCTTCTTTATGATCATAAGATAGTATCCAGAAGTAAATTTGTTAAAAAAAAAATTCATTTTTTCCGTATTTTACTTGTAAATGGACTTAGTTTTTCTGCCAGGAAACATTACATTCACTCTGTGGTTAAGTTTTTAAAATTTTAATAACTTTCTTAAACTATCCTGGATTTGTACCAAACATGGACAGAAGCTTCTTTATGATCATAAGATAGTATCCAGAAGTAAATTTGTTAAAATAAAATTACTGTTTTTCCGTATTTTACTTGTAAATGGACTTAGTTTTTCTGCCAGGAAACATTACATTCACTCTGTGGTTAAGTTTTTAAAATTTTAATAACTTTCTTAAACTATCCTGGATTTGTACCAAACTTGGACAGAAGCTTCTTTATGATCATAAGATAGTATCCAGAAGTAAATTTGTTAAAAAAAAAAATCATTTTTTCCGTATTTTACTTGTAAATGGACTTAGTTTTTCTACCAGGAAACATTACATTCACTCTGTGGTTAAGTTTTTAAAATTTTAATAACTTTCTTAAACTATCCTGGATTTGTACCAAACTTGGACAGAAGCTTCTTTATGATCATAAGATAGTATCCAGAAGTAAATTTGTTAAAAAAAAAATTCATTTTTTCCGTATTTTACTTATAAATGGACTTAGTTTTTCCACCAGGAAACAATACATTCACTCTGTGGTTAAAGTTTTTAAAATTTTAATAACTTTCTTAAACTATCCTGGATTTGTACCAAACTTGGACAGAAGCTTGTTTATGATCAAAAGCTAGTATCCAGAAGTAAATTTGTTAAAAAAAAAATTCATTTTTTCCGTATTTTACTTGTAAATGGACTTAGTTTTTCCACCAGGAAACATTACATTCACTCTGTGGTTAAGTTTTTAAAATTTTAATAACTTTCTTAAACTATCCTGGATTTGTACCAAACTTGGACAGAAGCTTCTTTATGATCATAAGATAGTATCCAGAAGTAAATTTGTTAAAAAAAAAATTCATTTTTTCCGTATTTTACTTATAAATGGACTTAGTTTTTCCACCAGGAAACAATACATTCACTCTGTGGTTAAAGTTTTTAAAATTTTAATAACTTTCTTAAACTATCCTGGATTTGTACCAAACTTGGACAGAAGCTTGTTTATGATCAAAAGCTGGTATCTAGAAGGAAATTTTGTTAAAATTTTGTACCTGTTTATCCGTATTTTACTTATAAATGGACTTAGTTTTTCATCCAGTTAACATTAAATACAGTCTGCAGTTAAAGTTTTTAAAACATTTATTAGATTCATAAACTATCCTGGATTTATACCAAACTTTGACAGAAGCTTCTTACAATCAAAAAATAGTATCTAAAGGAATATTTTTAATGATTTTTTTCCTCATTTTTGTTGAGCCTGCAATTAACAGCAAAAGTAGGCGAGACACTGGGTTTCCGCGGAACCCTTACAAATTTTTTTGGTAAATTAACACTTCATAGTCATCACTAGCTGCTTTTAGATTTTATCAGAATATAGCAAGTTCTGCTTATTTCATTTTTTGTACCAAATCAGGTTTGTCCAGCTGAATATTTCATTCTGAAACTTCATTTTTTAAGAAAAAGTCTATAGTAATGCAAAATAGATCCTGATGACCTCTGGTCTCAATCCACTCCAGGACAGGTCAAGTACCATAGTTTTTATTACTTCCGGAGGCAAATCAAATGCCCACTTGATAGCATTCCTTGTAGTTAAAACTTTTGATGCCATATATTTTGTAATTAAACCTCTTAAAGTTTTGACTTCAATCTATCAAAATTGATGTTTACTTCAAACAAAACTAAACACATCAACAATGGTCACTTAATATAAAGATGTTTTCGCACTCTTAATTGACTATAGCAGCTCATTATATAGATTTAGATAATCCTCCTCTGCCTGGCAGCTCCTTGGTCTTCATGATAGGAATATAAAATGATCTTCTTCCCATCAATGCCAAGCTTAAAATTAATGATGAAATTTGAGTTAATTGTTTAATATTATGTATTCATTACTCCTCAGAACTTTTATATTGATGCTGTGATTTACTGCACAAAAATTGAACATTAAATGGTATCATATCACTGAAGAAAATATGTTTTGTTTTCTTTTTTCGATTGATTTATATTTGTTGTTTAATTGAATACAGTTGTCAGTGGATGATTTTATTGAAGCATGGAAGTAAAAATGAATACTTCCATGATTGAAGCAATGTAGGATTTATTGTTAACAGAAGTACAAAACTGTTGCACAATTCTGAAAAAACAGAAGAACTTTGTTACTTTGAATATCTTGAGATTTTGCAATATTCCATATGCATGCACATGTAAAAAACTGGAATCACCCACTGCAATTTGTGCATGTTATTCTTTTTATGTATTGATGGACACAGTCAGGAAATTTAAGAGAGGGATCCATTCTTAGGTTTCAGTCATTGATGCTGTATTTGACCTGATAACTGCCTTTGCTTTCTTGATTTTGGTGACATTACATTGATTCACAACTGATCTAGATTCCAGTAATATAGAGCTTTACACAAATGGTATGAATTGTTGTCTACCATCGTAGACTCTATTGATTTGTCTTGGTGTTTGATTGTTCAATTTTTTGCAGATTCAGCATTTTATTGACTTTGTTTAGCCTATGAAAATGACTTTGAAAATCTGTTTTAGTGTCATCCTGAAATCATTTTTATATAGCAGCACATTATATACTAAAGGTTACTTTGTTTTTACCATTTAGTACTTGAAATGAATAATTCAAGATGTGCACTACTGATTTTGGCAGATGTTTCTGTTCAATTAATAAACAATTAAATTTTCAAAATCTAAAATACTTATATGAGTTTGAACTGATTTAATTGGTTGCAGTCCTTAAGTAGTGTTTTTAATTGTCGTTTTCCAATTTCATGCTAGAGTCTTGCTGATTAAGAAATTAGGATTTCCCATTTCAATTTACTGTTTTCCTTACATATCTGAACAGTTTGGTTTTAAGAGTTTGTGTTTGTTTTTTTTGACTTCAACAGAAGTTCTTATAATACAAGTAGGATTCCCATAACAGTGGAGGATTCAGGGGGCAGAGGGGTCGTAGAGGGCCAAAAAAAAAAAAAATCATGTATTTCACAATAATTTAATTTTGGATGTAACATGTCTTCTGATTGGCTGAAAGTGTTTTTTCGTCATGTGACCGTGACGTCATCAAGGTTTTTTTCATGATTTACTCCTTTAAAATGGAATTTAGAATTAAATTATAAGGAATGACTGTAATATTTTTTCTGTCTATTCGAAATAACCTAAAAAATGTGGTGCACACTTTTAAATAACCCACTACACGGATTATTCAGTGTGCACCACATTTTTGATGTTATTTCTTCATAGACAGAAAAAATATTACAGTCATTCCTTAAAAATATATAAATTTTAGTATAAAATTGTCCCAAAAAATTATATATTCAGTTATCAGGAATCATGTCCCCCTTTCAAAAATCCTGGATTCCATCCCTGCTTAATTTACATGACAAAAAACCTAAATGAAATTATGATTGAAATTACTAAAATCAACAATCAATGAAAGAATCAAGTAAATATTTTCTTGTGAAGTGTTGTTCATATTTATATAGACAAACAGTATGTGGTAAATTACCTAGTTGTTTTTTACATGCACTCTATATATTTACTAATCTGACAACACTTTGAAAATTAACGAAAATCTATGTAGTTGAAAAACTGCTTTTAACAAGTTTTTAAAAAAGATTTATACTCTTTTTTGCATTTTCAGTGGCCAAATAATGTCTATTTTTCAACTGAAATTGGGGGGCTTAGCGCTTTAACTTTTCTAGCAAGAATGGCCAGGTAATGGTGTTTGTTTATAACAGATCTAACACAGGTGAATGAAGTTTGCCAAAAAAAAAAGGAAAAGAAAAAGTTTTTGGCACCTGAAGATTAAAGTGGTTCCCTTCACCAATCAAAATAAATACTCTCTGATTGGCTTAATTAATCTCCCCGCCAGAGTTACATAAACGTTCACTTTAAACTTAATTTCTGTCTTATTTTAGCAAACCAGATGTTAGGCACAATGAAATTACTATATAATGGCTTTCAGTCCTGATGTTTGTAAAATCAATCTTCTTACCATATATTTTTGTTTAAGATTCAGT